CTGAAAGCTGACAAAATTATATCCTTTGCAGATATTGAAGGGATGGGATAGTAGTGTAAAATACATCTCAACTGAATTGACTTTTAACAAAAAGACATTAATGCTGAAAGTGATAATCCAGGAGCATTAAGTGATGATGTAATGATAAAGGAATGTTCATTCTGATAGTAATGGCCAGTATGTGGCTATTTCAGTTTTTCCATAAGAAATAAATATTGTGTTGCTAGTATTAAGTTACTTTAGTGGTTAAATATTTCTTTAATTGCTAGAATAAAACATTCCATTTCATTAAACCTTAATGTTGATTTGTCAAAATTCTTTATTATTCTCCAAAATGACTTCATCTTCCCTAGAAAGGAAATAACACCACCAGTGCTTTTTTACCTTTCAGTTCTTGAATCACAAATATAATTGCCCCTTCAAGTCTAGTCAAGGCATTGTTTTATAAGCATTGTGAATTACATTTTTGTCTTTTATTTATTGATTAACTGAACAACTTTTGGTATATATATTTATATTGTTTCTTTTTAAATAATGACATCCCATTTCCAGGTGATTTTAAATTAACCCAACTGGTTTTAATCAATCAAAAAAATGTCATCAAGTAAGCTTTTGGGTAGTATAAGGTGGAATTCATGTTTCAAAAATTCCAGTGAATTTAAAGCTGCATTAACTTGGTATTTGGCTAATGATTATGATTGTGTGGGAAATGTTCGTGTATTGATTTATTTCACAATTTAACAGGAGATAGCTTACTTTTATGGCTTTTCTCCTGATTTTTTATCATAAGTAAATCATCACTGAATCAGTCATGAATGCCATCTCCTTATTTACTAAAATTGAAGGGTATACTCTTTAGTTTCCTTATTAATGCTGCAAACACTACATTTCCTTTTGAGCTGAATGATACAAATCTATGGTGAAAAGAACATCTCTGCTTTGGTTTTACAGCTTAGCTATCTCTTCACTCTTAATCAAAGGAGAAAAAGGTCTGATCTCACAACCTATTTATACAGTTTTAAAACTTTCTAAGAAAAATAAAGCTTGCTATAATTAATGCCTAATGGTATAAACACCCCTGCATTAGTGGTTGCCTAGTAACTACATACTGCAGGCTGGTGGGATTGCTAAAGAGGCTGAATACATGGAAATATTAAGATCTATTTCCAATTCAGGTGAATGAGGAAGAGCAGAGGGCCAGACTCCTTTATTAAAATTGGGTTTCCATAACATTTTTTTCACTAAAACATCCTTCTGCATTAGAACTTACTCTTGTAAATGATTTCTGCAGATAAGAATCCAATTAAAAAGTGATGTTTTTTAAAAAAACATTTAATAGAGCAAAACCATCACTGCTTTATTATTCTGTATCAGTTCCAGTTTCTGTTCTTAGAGTAACTGGAGAATAGTGTTATTAGTGTATTTTAATTCTTCAATGAAACCTTGTCTTTGGATATCACTTTAGCATTGAATGACCAAATTAAGTTCCGAGCTAGAGGTAGTGTTAAAAGGGGCTGGAAGTGATTATAAATATGTATTTATATTAAGCTTTGGCTTGCTTCCTACCTAGCAGATTTAATTTCCTAATTATGTTTTGCTTTAACTTGGTAAAATTAGCTTGCATTCCCTTGGCACAAACCAACTACAGTTGGTGGAGGAAGCCTTCCAAACCCTAGGTTGTTGACAGGAGTGGCTAACTACATTAGGACTAAATTTACGGAGTAAAATCCACAAAGAGCCTAAGCACATGTAGATAATGACAAGTTAACTATGAGGGAATGTAGTTAAGTCATATGAAAACTTGTTTCTGGCAATGTCTTGGTTTCAAAAATATGTTATAGATAGATGGCACTCAAGCTCCTGTGGGCTTTTTGTTAGAGTTCCCTGTGTCAAGATTTGGGGCTTAAATTGCTTGTAGTGGTGTGGACAAGGATAAGTGTGCTCTGGAATATTTAAATTGTGTAACTACAGAGTTGTGGATTCAGTCAGAAGTGACTTGCTACTCTATAATTTTGTCATTTGGCAATACTAAGACATGATAACATATGGTTTGCTCTCTGGGGTTGACATAAATGTTGTTATTTGACTGAAATGGAGAGTTCTCTTATTCCACAAGGAAACTGTTTTAAGATATGTGTATGTTTCTTTATCTTTTCACGTGGGAGGAAGCATCCTATTGCATCGTTGCGTATAACTCTCTGGGTTTTGGGTTTAGTGGATTGGAGAATGTGGCTGATGTGGCCAAGGCCTTGGTTTAATCAGAAAACCACTTACCCACCACTGCCCAACCCCCACTGGCAGTCCCACGGTCTGCATTCCTAGCTGCAGCAACCCATTTCGTGGGTACAAGAATCCATTTCAGGGGTCAGAAAATAATTTGTTTAGATTCATTTGTCAGGTCATCTACTTCACTAGTTCAGAGAAAACAACGTAACTAGTTTTTTCTGCTTATAATGTATTTTGTATCTCTCATTCCGTTTTAAAGGCTGCAAGTAATTTACTGATTAAAAAATACTTTCGAATTTGTTATAGGGATTTCTTTTCTTTGTATTTATACTTTCAGTTTTCCCCTACCTTCAGAAATATTCACTTTAGCTCTGGGGTGTCCTTTTTTTTTTAACCTGTTTAACAAAGCTTCAAAAGATTTAATTTCTAAAACCATCAAGTCACTACCTTTTCATATATATTTGATTTGACTGTAATACATCCTGCTTTTGTGCAAAGAAAGCCTTTCAGAAAGAGTTAATTTGCAATCTCAATCTCACCAGGACTAATTCTCAGGAGAGAATTTAAGCCAGTAAGTATTCTCCCATTAGAATTAACTCCTAGTGTGCTATTTCTGTGCAGTAGGGTGGGACATTTCTTCTACTCTGGCTAGTGGGCAGTGCCAGCTTTAAGGTAGAGATAAAACTGTGTATTTTACTTCCAAGGTCCCGGCTTTTAGCACTTAAAAAATGTGCTTTCCTGTGACTTTTTCTTCCCTGTTTATTTTTCATTTTGCTAAAGAATAAAATCATAAATTACAAAAAAAAGAGGTGAGAGAGGAGAAATCACTCAGGGATTCCTTTGAGTTGTTGTTCTTCTTTAATTGTGTTTAGACTAACAGAAGCTATTTCTTCCTAATAATAATTTTTTTGAATTGAGCTACTTGTGCACAATAATTGGGATTTGCTTCCCAGAAATATTGTCATGTCATATTCTTAGTTCTTAACCCCTAAGTGAAGCTCATTATTTTGTTTCTCCCCCCAAAAGTGAGTCAGTTAATTTCTTGAATAGCAATTTAACATCAGTGTCAAGTATCAGTATGAGAAAATTCATTACCTTGTAAATGTGTGAATATGCATTTTGAAAAGAATAAGGAATGCTTTTGGTTCCAACTTTAATTTCTTACTGTCATTTCAGCATGTAACTGTAACTGTCAAATACTTTTCTTTCATCTTATAAAGTCTCTATTTATTGCACTATTGAGCATTTTCAGAGAAAGTGTCTGATAAAGGAAAGCGGTATAATGAATGGGGATGAAAACCATAGGGCTAAGAGAGGGAGTAGGTATAAAGTCAAAGAAAGTAAATCACTGAGCACCTCTGCTTATAGGATAAACTTGAGGTGATTTCTAAACCTGTGGGCCCTTAACCCCAAGGTTCCAGGTGAAAGTTCTTTCTTAATGTAGACCTCTTCTGGTAGAATTATATGAATAAACTTCATACAATTTATTGATCAACACTTTCAGAGCCTTTTTGAAGAAAGGATTTTGTCTGCTCTGATTTGTGTCATATTTAGAGCCAATTTGGGAAGGGAAGCAGTAAAAATGCGAAAACCTTTTGATAGGAGTCTCAATTTAAAAAAAAAATAACATTTGATCTGTAACCCTTGTAATCAACATCCCAGACATTTATCTTCCAGTATTTCAAGTCTATGATTTGGTTGTAGTTTGATTTTACTTGAGACACAGCTTGAATGCCTCTGTTTGATTTTGTGCTTTCAACACATTTCTGCGATCTGGTAATTTGGGAAGGCCTGTACCATACGGTCCTGATAAAGTGATATTTTCTGGGAATTGGCAGAAAGGGGTACAAATTGAACCAGACGTGAGCAGGGAAAATTGAGAATTTGAACCTAACTCATTCTCATGAAATGCCTTTTAAGACCTATAGTATTCGTTAAATCAATTTTTAGGATTTTTGGGGGGATGTATCCACTGCACAGAGGCAATTCTTTTGAACTCTTAAAAGTAGATACCCTCCTTTTATAAGCAATGGCACTTAATATTTATTGGTTAGCCCTTCATAAAATATTTCAGACTTGGGGTCAAAGGGGGCCCTGCTTCAGCTTTTTTGAAGAAAGGTTGTATAGAAAGGTATGGCTGAGGAGCCGGGTGCAACGAAATAAAGAGTAGCAGGAAGCATTTTGATTTGGGAGTTGATGGTTTTTGGAGAAGGACACGAGGCAACAATATAGTGAAACAAAGCCAGATAGATATACCAAGATGAAAACGCCCTGGTGCCAGTCTTGCAAAAACAAACAAACAATCAAAAAACAAAAAATACACGGGCGCCTTATGTGATTCCTAGCGGTGGGACAGAGGGGCTGAAGTAAAGGCTTTTCCTTGTTACAGAGAATTCAGATTAGGAGGCCTGACATTTCATCAGGTCTGTCTGTGCGCCGCCGTCTTGGTGGGGACAATGCTGGGCGAATCACCTTTTGGGCTCTTTCGTTCCTTCACCGCAACCAGGGACTGTGATTCTCCATCTGCGCGCAGGGCCAGAACCGGGCCTGGGCGTGTGCCCATTTCTGGTACCTCCAAGGACCCGCCTGCTGACAGCAGGCGACAGGGCGCTGGGCGCTGGCCCCAACCCCGCGGCGCGGGCGGAGCTCTGGCGCTCAGCGGGTTAAGGCGGCGGGGGCGGGGGCGGCAGCAAGGGGCGGAGGGAACGCCGCGGCTGCGGGGCGGCGAGAGCTGGCGCCCGGGGACCGCAGCGGGTTAAGCACCGCCCGTGCCGAGAAGGCTGAACCTGAAGCCGCTGCTCCGAGCTCGCGTTTGAACCGGCGGGAGCAGGAAGATGGCGACGGACGGCGCAAGCTGCGAGCCCGACTTCTCCCGCGCTCCGGAGGACGCGGCGGGGGCTGCGGCGGAGACGGCGGTAACCAAGGTCCCCGGGTGGGCGCGGGGAGCGTACAGACTGGGGCCAGTGTCCCGGCTGGACCCGGCTTGCGACCCGGGGCGCCCCTTAAGCCTGGGCTCCCCTGTGTGCCCCTTTACCGTGGTGCCTTTCCTCGGGGTGTCCTCATGGCCAGAGGCCAGATCATTTGGTGTGAGGCAGCTTCCTGGGCTGGGGATCCCCCCCCCCCCCCCGTCGTCCTTACGGAATCCAGCGGGAAACAGCCTCGACCGCCGGGTGGTCGGGGCTTTCCGCTCGTCTTGTGCGACCCCTACGCCCATTCCCTTCGCTGTGGTCGCCTTTGGCCAGGGGTGAGTGTTGGGGTGTGTTTTCCGGTGAACTTGACACCCCCTCCCATTGTTCACCTCTCGTGGCTCGCGTAGTTGTGGGCGCGTGCCTTAATTAGGGGTGCCTGGCACCTCTTATCGGACCCAGGAAAGCAGAGAGGGGGACGCGGATCGTCACCGTGCAGGTGTGGGGGATGCCTATTGTGTGTATTCGTGTGCCAAGGGCCCTTGGGAGAGGCCCAGTGCCCAGCTGCGGGCACCGCTACCGCCGAACGCGGGTGCTTTGGGTCCTAGCTGCCTGCCTGCCCCATCACTTAGTGGTGGTGGATGCGGGGAGGGGGTGGGGGCAGATCCTCGTCCTTCCTGAGAGGGTACTCGGCAGAGGTGGAAGTTCAGCACCTGGTATCAACACAGTGTTCTATGGGGTCTGGAAACTGAATGAGCTTCTACTCATCCCTGGTCTCCACTTTCACCCTCAGAGTATCCGCGAATACAGTGTCTGTGGTGGTTTCTAGCCCTACCTCGAGGGAGAGCTGGACCCACATTTCCTGGGATAACGACGTTCTCGGGGTTTGGGAAGGAGCCTCAGGAAAGCTGCAGGATCTGCAAGAAAGGCAACAGGGGAGACCCTCCCACCCATGGCGCTATCCCACTCGCCAGATTCCGGGCGGGGGGGGGGGATGGCGTGAGAGGAGCGTGCACGTCTTTCAGTTCTTCCTGTGACCTGAGCGTAATCAGTGCAGAAGCAGCAGAGCGCAGGGCCAGGTGTAAATAGTCAGGGCTGCTTTAACTTACTCTCCGCTAGGAGGAAAGGCTTTCCGGAGCGGGAGAGGAGGGATGTGAAGGAGGCTATTGGGGCGTGGGAGCAGCCAAGCGTGGGAAGGAAAAAGAAAACAGGGAGCGCAGGAAAACCGGAGGAGGAGAAGAGCTGCGGATTTATTTCTACATGTGAAACTGGCAAGTTGAGATTAGCAATTTTAAGGAAAATTTATTTTTCTTTTGCCTGGAAAATGCGAACTTTCTTAAAATTTCAAATCAACCCTGCCAACCAATCGTGCCCTCTGGGAAACACAATAAGGCAACTTGCTGTTAAAACAAGCTTCTCTGGAAGTTGAAATGATTTGGTACTTTCATCCTCAAGAGATGGTAAGGAGAGGGAGTGAGAGGAAAAAGAGCTGTTTGTGTGTGTTTTCTTGTTTCCCAGGAAGGTTGAATTTGTTTAAACTTCTTTCTACTTGCCTCAGTATTTTAACCACTTGACAATTAAACCAAACAGAAGCATCTGAGGGTCAGGATGGTCGAGGTGCATTTAGAAGCATCTGACTTATGATCTGTAGCTGATTTGTAGTTTTATTTGGTTAGATTGTAAACAGAACCTTGGATGCAGATTTTTGTGTTAACCAGGTCAGTGGTCCCTTTCTAATGTTGAAAATTTCTAGGAGTTTACATTGAATTCAGTGTACAGGTGGGGATTTGATCATTTCACCCTGGTAACGAGATACCCACTGTAAATCTGTGGAAGTCCAAGTCCTTTGTTATTTCCATGGAATTCTTTAGTGTTGTGAGGAGATACAGTAAGGTTTCTTAGTCTAATAGTTTTTTTAATTTTTAAATAACTTTTGAGTTTATAGTAAAACTCTGATGTCTATGTGGTAATATAGAGCATTTTATTTTTCACTTAAAAAGCATAATCCTCTCATATCAGCACTTGTCATGTAGACTGATTTTTAAATTAAAGAAAATCTAGGTTGAGGACTGGTATTTGTCATTATAACTGTTCCTTAAATAATGATTTAAAAAATCAAAGACATTTTAATGCATTCTGGGTTTGTGAAAACTGCAGGCTTATTACTTTTTTTGTGATTTTTTCCACTTTACTTCACTTTATATACATTGAATTTTTACACATATATTTGACAGCAGTAAGCCAGTGGAGATTCTAAAGCAGAAGGCTATTTTTGAAAGTAAGTGTTTTCACTAAGTTTTGACTATTTAGATTGTTGCTTAGAGACAAATTTAATTTATAGTTTTCAGCTTAATGTGATTTTCAGTGTAGTGTTTTAAATTTAGTTTGCAACTTTTGTTCTTAGCTGTTTAAATCCTGAAAGCATCCCAAGTGTAAAGCTGTGTAACAGCTACATTATTCAGTAGGATCGTAATAGGGTTTTTTTGTTTGTTTGTTTGTTTGTTTTGCTGTGAACCCTGCCAAGAGACCTGGGTTATTTTCAGCACCTTAGCCAAATGTGATGACTTTTATAGCCTATATTGCTATTTCTACTTTGAAAATATCCCCTAATGGATAAGGCATTATGGAAAACAGAGCCCTTTCTGTTTTTTATTGTCACCAAATAATTTAAGAGTTAAAGGAAAAGGGGATCTTTTTAAACCTATCTTTAGAAAGCATACCAACATTCTTTTTTTTAATGGTGTTATTTATTTTTTAGAAGGGAATGGAGGGAGAGAGGAAGAGAAACTTTGAAGGGGGAAAGAAACATCTGTCAGTTGCCTCTCACATCTCCCTAGCCAGGGACCTGGCCCAGGACCCAGGACCCAGGACCCAGGACCCAGGACCCAGGATTGTGCCCTGACCAGGAATCATATCTCCAATCTTTTGATTTGTGGTACAAGCCACAAACAGTCAGGGCTACACCAACATTGTTGTCATTCTGGGCTTTTCTGGAGCAGCTACATACAGAAAGTAGATATAAATTTTGTTGTCATGGTGATGGTGACAAGAAAAAACTTCAACACTGATTTTGTTAAAAATGTACAACAGTGATGTTAAATAAATAAACAGCCAGCACCTTGAAATTTTCATTTCCAGACACAGTATTGAACATAAATGCAATGAGAAGAATCTTAGCAATTTTGCTAAGCTTTCTTTAAAAGAAACTCTGTATAATTATATGGCAGCTATAGAATATTGAAAATTTCACAGCATAGTTTTAAATAGAAAATAATCTAGATTGGACATACATTACTGAACACTTTGTGAGATGGAGGAATCATGAGTAACATATTTACTGTCCTAAAGGAACACATTCCAGTGATAGAAACTGACATAGATCAAGAATCAAGTCGGAGATGATGGTGTCATGAGAGCACAAACAATTTGCATTAGGAGTCTGGGGAGGAAGAATCATGGAGAGGATTACGAGTGGAAGGATCTGGAAACATTGCACAGAAGGATGGCATTTGAACTGGGGCTTAAGAAGTGAGAAGGTCTGTACAGGGAGACCACAGGAACCTGTGTTCAGTTGTGACTGGGAGTTTTCTAGGATTCCTTGAGAGGTAACCCAGACCACATATGAGGGTCTTTCAAAGATGAGCGTGTAAGTTTCAATTTCAGTATTAATTATGTGCCTTAGGAAAATAGCAAGGTTGAGGAAATAGACTAAAATATCCCCTCAAGATTAGAATATAACTGCTTTCGATGTGATGCTTTTCACTGTATTATCTTTTCCTTCTCACATAATAGGTTGTATATTTCTCTTTGTACCTGTTGTTTAGACTTCATTATTGTTGTTGGGATCACTGTTATTACATTTCTCACAAGAGCAATTTTGTTTAGAGAGAAGCATGTATCCTCTCTGTACTTGAATCCAGTTGGTTCTCTTCTCTTCTGTTTCAGGTAACTTTGGGAGGTGAGAAAACATTTTATGGACTTAGTACTTAGCCATTTGCAAATATCTGCTGTATATCACATGGAGAGCAGGTCTGTGGCTGGGAGGGAACAGCTTCCTCCAAGAAGAGCTTTGTGGGTTCTGTAAAAGAAAGCAGAGGTTGCTTAGCACAGTGTCAGGAACATGGTAGGTGTTTCACCAATATTTATTGAATGAAGAAAATGAACACTCACCCAGAGACTATATCATAATACTTAATATTGATTGGCTAATTGGAAAACTTTGTGTGTTACCAGATTGTAATGGAACTCTTGTAATTTGTAATAATTAACATTATAGATATCACAGATGTTTTCTTGTTTCAGAAAGATGACCCTTATTCTTTTTTGATTTACATTTGTATGTGGCCCTTTTCCAAGCTGCTTTTCTCAATAACATTTCAGATACTTTACAGATTTAAAAAAATTAATTCAATATCCAACACTATTAGTTTTTCATTTAGATTTTTTCCCCTTCAAAATACCGACTGAGGCTTGGAATGTGGTGGTGAGGTGGTAACTGCACCCCTCCCCATCCTGAATTCTTATAATAGAATCAAGGCCCAGTCACCCACAAGGTGTCAAGACAAGAACAGGGAAGTATGGAAACAGGAAAAGGGAAGAAAAGACTGGGTGGGAAGAAGGAGGTCAGGCAGGGCTTTGGAACCATCTGCAAATGCCCAGAATTAAGGGACCAGAATCCCACTCTGAGTGCGCCTAGGAAGGCTGGAGCACTGTCTCCCTTCCATGCCCACATGCGTTGCCACCGAAGCACTAAACACATCGGAATATTGCTTTAGAAGAGTTTATTTAAATGTACTTAATTGTATTCTCTGTTGGACCTCCTTTGCAAGGCTTACATAACATGGGAGAGGAACCTTGTCCTTTGTCTTTGACAATTATGTAATGAAATGGAGACCAGTTAGTTACAAGAGAGATGGTAATGACATTTATAGCAGAAGCTTTTAAAGTTGTAGTTTAATTAGTTATAACTTATACAAAAATGAGATCATGGTATTAATACCATGTACAAT